ACTGAAATTTTTGGGACTTGGAGGACTAAAATGGAAGAGACTGAATCTGAATATGTCGATTTTCGAAACTTTGAAATACAGAATCATGTCTATCATTGAAGCAATGGTTTTGGTTTCTAAGCTTGGTTTCTTCTTTCTTTGTTGCGGTTGCAGATTCTAACAATTAATTTTTTTTGTGATCAATACTGTATTTTTTTCGTTTTTTGAATTCTTAGTATATATGTAAAATTTGATTCTAATTCTTTCAATTCTATACCGATATTTTTCTTATTCGCTTCTGCTTTTATACATTTGCCATAAATATGTGTAGAGTAGAAGTGCGACATAAGCAATCCATAAGGTTCATAGTTACAATATCATCACCTAAATTATGGAAAATTAGTTTGGGCTTCCAATCGAATTAAAAAATCAGACCAGACTAAAGTTATCGTCATAATGTAATGATTCCAACCAAATCAAAAATCTCAATAATGAAATGTCCATATAGATAAATAGAAGGATCAAAGTCTTTTTGGCATGAGTTTATTTTTAACTACAAACTTAGTCAATGCAATGTAGGTTTGACCGATACGAACATATGTAGAATTAGGCCAACAAAGTCAATATTGGGTTGTGTTTGGTAGGCTTTACCCCTGTTCGTTTAATGAACGCTGCCTTCGACAGTGGCGTTTGAGATTTATTCATAAGTTTGTTCCCTTTGATTAAATGAAACCACAAATAGAGACGCTGCGTCAGAAAAATGAAGCTTTTCCGGTGTTGCGGCCGACGCAAAAAAAAGTAGCGACCATTGTCTTTATTTCTCTCTCCTCTCTGCAATTGAAAACATAGACGCTGCGTCAGATTTCTTCCCGTGTTCTTCTCTCTTTCCTTTTGAATACTCTTTTTTCCTTTTAAAATTTGATCTGTAGTCGCAGCCGCTGCGCGTTCGTTTAACGAACAGGGGTTTTGACAATTATCTTATCTATTCTCTAGAACATCTATATATGTAAATGATCTAGCTAGAGGACTAAAATCTTTCTTTGTCTCTTATATATTGCACAAGGTTATCTTTCAATTGCATGTCTAAATTGAACAAACAGATTGTGTTAGCTTTTGTGGAAATTTCAACTATAGGATGCCTCTGCCTATTGGTGGAGAACAAACCACACCTCTAACCAAGGGAGTCCATCTCAACATTCTAACGAGCCTTCTCCACTGTCCTCAAGCCAAGATTCGACATCGCCAAGAACCAGAGAGCAAATTCATGGCCACGAAACCTCTTGTGCGACTCACCGCCACCAGATCTACACCGCATCGCCTCAGAAGAAGCGAAGAGCCTCCAGAAAATATGTCCATTTAATACCTTTGCTAATAAAGGGAGGGGAGGGGAGGTCTTCTCACGGTCGGACCACCAGAGAAGAACTCATAACATATCGTAAAAATCCTCTACCTTTCTCCCTCTGACTGCTAAGGCGAAACGAAGTAGAGATTGACACAAATGTTTGTTACTTGCTTTATATCCGTTACTTGGCTGATTCAATTCGATTTTCTCATGATTGTCAAATAGAGTATCAAGTCAATAGATTTTATTGTTGCAAATACAAGACAAGTAATAAATATAACAAAAAAAATGAGCGATTCAATTTGATATTACTCATTATTTTCTTGCAACTGAAAAAATGATAACTAGATCATTAGAATAGAAATCTTAAAACAGAAAAGATAATTCTTTGCTGCATGAAGTAAACAATACTTCCATATGGAAATATGTATGTCTTTTATTTTTTCTTCTTGTTTATATTAGGTACACATATTTATTTTGGAATAACTCTAGTGTTTTTCCAAATCGAGTAAACCAAACAAATTTTCATAACCCTAGAATATTATCCAGTGAGATATTTTTACAAAGTCAGAAATAGTTTGAAATAATTTACATATACTTGCAATGAGCAAGTAATCGAACGAAACAAGTACTGTAACTTGTAAGTAATATATTTTTGATCAAGTATTTGAAATAACAAATATTCATTTTTGACAAGTTAAATACAAATTTAAATTCTATTAATCATACAAGATAAGTCAAATATTAAATATAAGTAAAATAGGAAGTACTCGTCTTGCTTCCATATACCTAAGACAAACTCGCCTTATCCTGTATCATATATCTTCTTTCGAACTTCCAACAATAACACAAAAGTACGTATAATCCGCAGGCAAAACGTAAGAGCATGTAAACGCTAGTGATTATGGCGTTACAGTTTATGTTTGCAGCATTAACGTTCGCCTATGGTAAATATAATTTATAAGAAGTTGAAAATGCATTAAAAAGTGTGATATTGGTAAACAAGACTCTAGTAGGTTATGAATGGTTACAATTGTAGGTGTGCCTTATTATTTACACAAGTAGGCATAACGGGTTAGAAAACCTTACACCATAAATTTGTTTTTTTCTTGGCTTAAATGTTTCCGAACCGGTTGGTCCAAGTTCTTAGTTTAGCTATTAGTGTTTAAAAAAAATGCTGAGATGAGAAGATTGGGTTTGATAAAGATGAAGATGATATAGGTAATAGGTGTTGAACAACTTATACCGGCTATCCACTTGCATCTTCTTATTGCTGTATTGGCTAATTCAGGAATGCTTCCACGTGAGTATCAGTTCACCTACCTTACCAGTTACCATCTCTAGTATTAAATTGCCTTCCGAGTGTTTATTTTTCCAGTTACTTATTTGCCTTTATTATTGAGGTAATTTTAATGGGAAAATTGTCAAATATGACTCAAAATTTGATTTGAAATGTAAAAGTAATAAACCCA